ATAATCTCACCAGATCTGCACTCAACAAAGACAAATTGAAACTGTTGATGACCTGCCACGTTAATGTCCTACCTATTCCTATCAAATTTGGCTCAACCACTATCGATATTACCCCTGAAGAAGGATAGTATAGTTTTTAGGTGTGTGGATTAACAGTTAGAGAGCTCAATCATTTGTCAAGAAGCAGCTCGCGTTTGATGTGAACCGCTTCGTCACCTCTATGAAAAATAAACTATTAAAGGACAAACAACTATTATATATCATTAATATGGTTTTGTGTCCTCTGCTAGAGTATCATATGCAGCTGACACCCCTTTCAAAAAATGAATGTCATAAAATTTTTGCTCCCATACGTTCACTTTTCAAACATAAAAATAAATTCGCCCTTACCCTCCCCAACACTCTTTTGAACTCCAAACAATTCTATAATTTAAGCGACCTCTGGTCACTGCAAATCAAATCCCTTTCAACTGCTTTTATTTACTAATTTAATAACTCATCCCTTTATAAGAACATCTCTCTAATTCATCTTTACCAATTACAGTCACGCAATATTCTTGTTACATTCCCCTAAATTATTGGCCACATTCTTTTAACAAAAGTTCACATAAAAACTTAATTGGTACCTCCCTTTCCCTTATCAATTCTTCATCCTCAAAACTCTCTTTTAATGTTTCCCCTCTCCTCACGAATAAAATTACTGGAGGTACCCAACACATCTCAAAAATCTTTTCTAGTAATTTACTAAAATGATATAACAAAATTCTCACTAACCATAACTTATATTTTTTAGATCAACTAATCTTCTCCTTAGGTCGTCATTTAATTACTACTTATAATTTCCTTTTCAGGGATTTTGACCATCAGTCAAAAAGATTTGGCTCATCTGATTTTTTCTATATATTAGACAATATTGTTTTAGAAAATCACGTACATAAATTGATCAAACCAGAATTTAGACTAGCTTCCCCCTTACCATGTTACAAAACCATTTCTCAAGCGCTTACCTTAAGTAGCCAAATAAAAGAAATAGTATCAACCTGAGACACAACGCTCAAGGGTCCAACCTTCGAAAAAATTATAGCCGATGTTTCAAACAGTAGCCATCTCATTTGCTACCATTTCATACACAACATCAACCATAATAATGTTTGTCAGCTTGTTAAATGCTCTAGTTGTCCGCTCAGCAAACAGACTGTTCCATCTAAGCATTGCATTATTAGTATTCCTAATGCCCTAGCTTACTTAATTCAAACCATTCCAAAACAATCACACATGGTCAAGAATCAACTCAAACAATCATTTAGGGAAATCTCTCGCATCACCAACACAATCTTCCACAAATCATACAATGACCCTTCTCCAACAATTCCACTTACTAATAACATCATTGACCTTCTTATTCAACCTTTGATGCATTCACCTAAGCTCAAACAATTGCAATCCACCTTTATCAGTATAACAGCCTTAACATTTTACACAGACGGCTCTCTAATAGGATCACGGACGGACAACTGTAAAATGGGATTCAGATGGATTTGCTTACACCCTAACAACGATACATTTACCTTCAAAACCTTACTCACAAATTGGCCCTCTTTCACGCGAGCTGAAATGTATACTCTCCTCACTGTTCTCATAATATCCCCAAATAACGCAGTGGTGAACGTCTATCTAGATAGCCAAACAACAATTTATGGTTTTAACAAATATGTGCTCTCAAACCATCTTTCTCCAAGAAAGCTTGAAAAAGTCCCTAATCATATGATCTGAAATATTATCCGATACATTACTGATCACCTCAACCTCCAAGTTTCACTTCACAAAATCAAAGCACATGCTGGCAACTATTATAATGAAATAGCAGATAGATTAGCTAAAGATGGATGTAATACACCTCCTCTATCCTTGCTACTTAACAATGTCCCCTCATCAGCTCTCTTATTCTGCTTCAATAATGTTCCTATTGAGGTCTCTATTAGAGATTTTCTCAAGCAACTCTTTGCCGCACAAGCTTTTGGCAACTTTTTGGATCTGAACAGGAATGATAAACTCAGAATACTTACAGTTAATAAATCTATCAATTGGTTCACCATTTGGCACCTTTTTTCGATGAACACCTCCTCTCACTCCACATCCTTTGCTTTATGCAAGCTCAAATCATTCATAATTAAAAACTTCATTAATGAACTACCTTCACTGTTACGCCTCACATTACTACGACCTGATTTATATGAATACTGGCCTTGTGTGGGTTGTAACGTTACTACTGAAACCACTTTCTATATTTGGACATGCCCACTGTACTCCTCGAAAATTATAAACACGATCTCAGCTACCAAAATGATCTTATTAACCAGCTAAGCTCTTCATACAGAACCAGATACACAATGCACCAAACTGAACTAGAGAATGTACTCAATAATATCTTCGCATCACCTTCAAATACTTCTTATGGCTATACAGATATCATTCAATCCAGAATTCCATCCTCCCTGATTGATATTGTTCACAAAATAACTAGCTATAAAGAGCGATGCCTCTCTATCATTTCACGCTCGCTGCTCCTTTTCTACCGAAAGCTATATGATGACGTCTGGAAACACTGTTGCAACTTATTAATCGCCAAAGAGCGTTCAATAGACATTACTAAACAAGACAAGTGTAAATGAAGTGCCGGTTCACTCCTACCTCACAGACAGACATCAAGCCCCTCTTTTAACTGAGAGACTTGGATTACATCTTGCAAACAAATTTGGCTACGCTTTCTTAGATTTTTAGATAGGCACTGACGTCTTCTTTATCTTTCTCTGCTGATGTTAAGTTTCATTAAGTATGTACTTAGTGGAGTTGATGGAGGGAAAGACAATGATAGGTCGATTCAAACAGGTTTATAATATAACTACGGGAGATAACTAGTACTTAGTATAGATTTATTCTCGATTTACTTTGTATTTCTTTATATATAAATTTAATAAAGTTACTGGCAGTACCACATCGTTAAAAAAATATATATAATTTACCAACTAAAAGATCATTAATTAACATTAAAATTTTTTATTATAAATTAAGTTTAAATTATAACATAAAAAATAAATAACTTACTCTCTATAATATTATTAATTATTAAATATCTTTTAAATATAAATTAATTAAATTTAAATTAAAATATAATAAAGTTAAATGGTTTACAATCTAAGTATTATTATTATTAAATTTTTTTTAAAAAAAATATTAATTATTAGATAATTATATAAATAAATAATAGATAATAAATTTATTACTATTTAATTCTTCTAATGTAGGAGTATCTGAATCTGATTCTATTATAATATTTATTTTTGAGAAAATTTTGGAATTAATATTAGTTGTATTACCTTTATCAAATAAAACTGTTTCTATTTTTGAATTTTAAACAAAAATGAGTATAATTAACGGTATATATTACCTTCTAATGAGTAAGCTTTTTTAACATCCGAAACTGGCTCTAATATAAATTCACGAAAAAATAAAGATTAGAATATTATCAAACCGTCAAATTAACTAATTTAGTCATACGAAGCTTCATTTCTTTTCTTCTTTTTTCTTGTTTGATGAAAATATTTTAGTTTCTTTATTTATTATATACTATTACCTTTATAATTATTATTATTAGACATTTTTATAATTTATAAAAATAAGTTTTTTTTTTTAAAAAAAAAAAAAAGAAATTATTTTAATCATAATACATATTGTCAAGGCATGTAGATCTTACCGTTTGTATGTGATGTGAGGCACAGCACTAGAAATAATTTTAGTATTAAAGGAGGAGGATCTGTGTTACGGTAAAAAAATTTTAGTTTTTAGACGATTCGTGTAACTCCAACGACCGGCCATTCTTATTTTTACCTAATACTAACACTAACACCACTAACACTGACACTAATACTGACAGGTGGGTAGGAGAGGAATCTACCTCAAGGAATAAAGGTTGTTTAAATATTTTTTTTTAAAAAAAAAAAGATTCAGATCGGTCAGTCCGTCGTGGTGACACAGTCAGGTGCATGATGAAATTGTTTTTTTTTCTAATATTATGTATTGTCTAAATCTTAAATTAACTAATTCATAATTGTTGATTAATAAGATTAATAATTAATTATTTATTTTTTGATTTATGATTTTATTGGTTAGATCAGTAGATTCGTCACTTAGGTTTCCCACGGTGTCGCAATAAGGTTGGTAAATTTTTTTATTATTTTTACCTATATTTTTTTGATTATTAATCAAAATCTAATGGCTTTTCTTCAATTTTGGTTAGGACTGACACCGACAATTCAGACTTAGACAAATGTGAGTGCTGCACCTTTCAGCTAATCACGACGGTGCAGTCAAGTGCGTGTGATGATTTAAACGTTTTTTTTTTTACATTGATTAGTATTATTAATTTCCTTTTTATTTTTTTATTATAAAAATAAATAGATCGCGGGGGGGGGTAAAAAATAATAATAAAAATATATATATATAAGAAATAGATCTCGGAGGGGTAAAAAAATGATAAAAAAAATTAAAAAAAAAAATATATCACGGGAGGGGGTAAAAAAATTAAAAAAAAATATATCGCGAGGGTAAAAAAATGATTAAAAAAAATATCGGGCGGAGGATTAAAAAAAAATTAAAAATAAAATATATTGGGAGGGTGGGGTAAAAAAATGATTAAAAAAAAAATTAAAAAAAAAATATATATATATCGAAAGGGTGGAGAAATTAAAAAACATAAATAAAAGGGATCGCGAGGGGTAAAAAATAATTAAAAAAAATTTTCGTTTTCAAATCAAAAAAAATTATAAATAAAAAAGAATGAAATTCCTCGTGGTCCTGTAACTTTAACGTTCTAAACCAACCTTGTTCGGTCAGAATGAACATAAATGTTTCAAAGAATCTTTTAGAGATATCCTAATTTATGCCGAAACAAAAGTTTATGTCAAAGTTGCAAATATTGTTGTGAGACGTAAAGCATAATAATGGTCGTGCTTACAACACAGCCGATGGATTTAATGGCAAAATCAGGTACGATTTATCTTGGTAATATAGTTAATTTAGATCACAAATATATTTAATGATCATTTTATATAATAGCAATGTTCGCTATTTCAACCGGCGTCTATGTGCCGAAGAAGTGAAGGAAGATTTTTTTGTAAGATTCTTTATAATTTCGCATCATGAACATTTAAGGCAAGCTCACATTGACAACTTTATTTGAAAATTGATTTTCAGAAAAAACAAATTACATATGGCTCGAAGTTCGCTCTTGTTTTCATTTACCCACTGGAAAATATTTGTCTACAAAAAAAATCCAATATGACTTGGGTAAAAACGGTCAGCAATATATGGTATTTACCACTATTTTCTTTTTTAATTGTTATTAGTTATATCATAAACCTTGACATTGTAATACTTCATTATGAACTTGCAAAGGTTGTTGGAAATGGACAGGTAGTAGACATAAAAAATGACGTTTATACTGTCATTGAAGCTTATGGTACAAGTGTAAGCGCGGGAAGTCCCGTGTCCTTTAATACCATTGTCGAATTTAAACATCAAGCGACAGGAGGAATGTTACATTCTCATGTCAAATGGTTAGGAAGCACCCCAATAATGAATCATCAACAAGGTATGTTTGTTGGTATTAATATTGTTATTAATATTAGATATTTGATTTTAATTAATTAAATATAACAATTAGTTACCATTTGGCATGGTAGAAATCGTGACGATGACTGGCTCATTCGACGCTTTAGTTCAAACACTTCTAAAGATGACCCTGATTATTTGTTGGATGGTGATATAATCAGCTTAATTCATGACAATACCGATAAGCCAGCACTTTATAGCCATCTCATGTTATTTAGTGATGGATCTCAAGAAGTTTCCTGTCATGAAAATGGATATGATGAAAATAATATGGTAAGTACTTTACATATTATTCAAAATGCCCATTCATATACACTGAATGAAAATATTATATTTCTTTTTAGTGGCGTATTGAATTAATTGATGATTCGTAATCGTGCTTAGTTATTTTAAGAAAATTTAGGTTGTTCTACTCTTTAAATTTGTTTCACGTGTCGTAAATTATTTAACGTACTTTGCACATTTATATGTGCGATGAAAATAAAGATGACCAGACAAGAAAATTAAGTTAAAACACGCAATGGATTTTCCCCTCAAAATTGTAGTAGGAAATATAATTCCAACAATTTTTTACACAATTGATTCTGCAATAAAGATTTATTACTTAAGAATGAAATTGAATTTGTAAATAATTTATTATAAAGATATCGAGTTGGCAAAACCCTCGGATTCCTACGGGTCAAAACTATAAACAAATCCGTTGAATGTTTCGACTAATGACGTTTGCTAAATGAGGTTTTGCCAGTCAATTATACTATCGAGTAATAATACTTTGTTTATTTTGTATAAAAGAGAGGGAAACACTTTCGCTCAACTATCTCCGCTGTTCGAAATTTATTAGTTGGAATAGTTTTCTTTTTTATCAACTAAATTATTGCGAAATTTACAAGTGAATCTGATATCGTGTGCAAATATTTTTAAAAACATTCTGAAAATAACATTTGACGTGATTTCAATTATTCTACCAATTGATGTTGAATTATTAGTTTACGTTTATTCAAAAGAAGCATTTCAAATATTAAAAAGCGTTTTTTCTCCCCACTAAAACATTTTTTGATTTATATTCAAGCTTTCATGTATTCTCAAGCTGTAAATGGTCCTACTATACTTAGAAATTAGAAATTTCAGTAAGCAAATACTTTTCAAATTGTTGATACTCAAATAAGTTGATGATACAATTATTTTTTTTTGAAAAAAATAAATAGTTAATTATGATAGATAATTTAATGAATAGAAAGGTGTTTTAAAGATGGAAATACTAGAAGTGTTAAATACGGCAATTTATAAAGGTGAAGTAGAATTCCGTTGATTTAAATGATAATATTGAAAAACTTGTGATTGCTTTGAGACTTTAACTTAACCAAAATATAACGCGTCGAGATAAAGCTTAATTAATTATGGAAAAAAAATTTTGAATTTAGCAAAAAAAAATTGAATACAAACAAATAAAAAAGTTAATTTAATAATTAAATGAACTAAAGCATTGTAGCAAAGCGATCTTACGCACTAAACTAGAATGACAGTATTAATCAAAAGTTACTAAATAAGAATTTCAAAATTTTTTAAACTTATTGTTTATACAAGTTGTTTTATAATTATTTTTTAAAAAATTTCTTTTTCCTATTTTCCTCCTAAATATAACTAATAATAGTAACAAACATACTGAACTAACTATTACAACAATAACATTTTTAGGACCATTTATTTTGAAATCACACTTAATTTGTAAAAGAATTATTTACACTTTATAGTAGGGACAGAATTATGGGTCAGCCTAGCACCGCTGTACTTAAGTTTGATTGCTAAGCCAAATTAATGAAATAATGGTAATTAAGTAATTAAAAAAAATTTTTCGATGAAAATTCTAATCCAAATTTCCTTCGTATTTACGAATAGAAGTATGGACGTATTCAATCCAATATTTATTTGAGGTAAGACAAAACGCACTTTTTCTTAAAAATAGGAAGATTTTATTTTTTAAGTTTTTTAAAATCATTTAAATTCGTTTAGTTGTTATAGATGAATGTAGTGGAAAATATTAAAAGTAAAGGATTTCCTTTGTCGATAAGACACAAATTACGTAATACAAAGTTTATGCAAACTATTATGACGTAATAAACCAATAAAATCATTAGTATAAAAATGAGCCATTTTTTTTTCGTAGCTATTCATTCGCTCTTGATCATAATAAGAAAATTGTATATTTTTAATAATATTTTAACGTTAATCATGAATGATAACATTGAATTACGAAGTATGTATTATAAGATTTAGGAATATACGATTTAAATTTGCTAAAATCATTGTCATTCACTGTTCAAGAAAACGATGAAGTAGGAGAAGGTTCAAAAAATGATCAAGAAATCGGTGCAAAAGGAGAAGGTCTAACCGTGTATCCTCAAGATTTGCCGAAAGAATTACGAGATCTTTACGGCAGGTTGACTTCAGAGGCGAAATTTTATTTTACTTATCTTAAAAGTAACGAAGAAAAGAAGATGTTTCTTGAGGCGGTTCTAGCGGAAAGAAAAAGACAACGTAAAACAGGAGTAAGTTATTGTTATGTTTATTTTGATATTTTTTTTTTTAAATTCACCGAGCTTTTCACTTAAATAACTGTTTAGTTTCTTCGTATTCTTGATTTTTTTTCAATTAAATAGGTATTATTCATTAATTTCTTTGCTAGTTTAGTTGTTCTTTTAATTGTCATCGGTCTTATTGTGATTAGTGAGAAAACTGAAGAGCAAGGTGAATAATTGTATTCAATAGTTTCATATGCTACAACGTATTTTGTACAATCTATTGCGATTGATTGGTTTTATTTTGCGAAAAAAAGACCTAATAAAGAATTTTTTATTTGTTTATTTATGTATCATTGCCATTATGTCTTTCTGGTATAGGAATGTGAGTAATGACGCATTATCACTGGTAAAATCATTGTTTAGACCTGAGTGGTGTTTGCGGAAGATTTGTTGAAAATTTTATCACCATGGATAAATTAATAAAATAGATTATTAAACTTCGATTTGTGTATGATGTATCAATACCAATATACCATTGCGAAAGTATAAGATGTTAACATTTCGATTTATTAACACAGTGATAAACAAAGTTATGTTGAAATGTAAAGACCCGCTTTTATTAATACAATGATAGCGTAACGTAACACGCAAAAATAAAAAAACAAAGTTCGAGTCTTTTGCTCGTAACACGTACATTTCTACGATAATGCCCTACGTCTATATGATTATTATTCGAACAATAACCCTCTATCTTAGCCTTCTTCCTTCTTCCGACGGCTATCCTTTAATAAACCTAATACTCACAAAACCCCTTTTTTACGGCACTTCGCAACGTTTGATATTCCGCGAAGTCTTCAAAGCATCTTTGGAAAATTGGTGCTTTTATAGTAATTTACTGCCTTGCGAGATTATGCCTGGTATCAAGTAGAAAGTGCTTGTCCTTTTAGTCCCATAACATATGAATTTTAATGTTAATATTGATACGAAGTTCCACAACTTGAGGTTAATAATACTCTTCCGCATTCCTTTCTCTCATTTATTTGAGGAAAATAGATACAGGCAGTTAGTATTTAATTTTTTTTCTTTCGACACGAGACGTTAAAAATCTATTCTTTCCTATTTTTCCTAACAATAAATGTATTTAACGAAATTATTAAAAAAAGAATTGATCACGTGCGGATCTATTTATCACGTGATATCAGTGACTAGCTATAAAACGCTGGCGATAAATTACAACTCAATAAAATTTTTTTATTTATTTAAACTCACAATCTTAAATATTAGAAATTGCGAAACCTTTGGCATCATCTCTTTGGCATATAATTTTATTAATTGAATGTAATGTATAATAATTTGGAACAAGAAAACCTATTTAAAATATACTTTTAAAAATGCATGAAAAATTCGAAAATACCAAAATTTTCAAATAAGTTAAAGTTCACTATAAGAATCGAAATGGTGTCGATCAGGGGATAATTGTTTACATGATGAATAGCGTAAATCATAGCCATACAGAATCCTATTGTTTATTTTGCGTAAATTCTTTTATTAAATCAACCACACATGACAAATTTGTATCCAATTTAACAACATTTTGAATGATTCGCTGCGCCAAATTATTGACAAAATCGTTCAATCGATTATCTTGATTTCTCACAATCAACTAAACATTTGCATCGCTTGAATATGAGAAATCGACGATTGGTACGTCTCATGAGGGTATCACAAGAAAGGTGTTTTGGACACGCGTTTAGGGATCTTTATTTATAAATACATGCTTCATAACATCAAAGTACAAATTTCTGGTTTAACCAAAAAAAAAAAGTTCTTTTTTTCTGTAAATGTATTTTTCTTTACCAAGTACCATATAATCAATCAACCACGTTGACAACTCTTATTTCATCATTTTGAAATGGGAAACGATTCTATTCCATTAAGAAAAAAGCCCCGTATTGCGGTAATGATACATTTCATATACAGTAAAGATTTTTGCATCTTTCTATTGGTTGCACATCGATATAATATCACGTGAAATCGACTTACTATTCAAAAGTTAATGTTTTTGGCGGGAACTGTTATAATTTCCCCATATGAGCGGATAGTATTTTCCGTTCACTAAAAATAATTTACATTAATTATTTATGTTCCTCAATTAACATATTATTACCACATTTTAATCTAAAAATATAATCAAGCTTCACGATTCTCAAGAAAGGGTCGCCTCACTATCGATATCTAATATATCAGAATACTATTTTCTTGATTGCGAAAAATTGTTAAAGCTTAAATCAACGCAGTCTTCCGATGAAAAGAATGCACAGAGTATGATGGGCCTAACTTTTCGTGCCGCAACAAGACAACGTGGAAGAAATTTTGAAGTCGAAATTGTAAATGAATTAAAAAGATTAAATAAGGAAAATGTAATAAAATGTGTAAAGGAGTCAAATGACTTTAATATCAATTTACTAAGAGATGCTAAAGTCGGTCAAATATTTTATCAAATGTCATTTAAAGTTCATGAATCATTTTATATAAAGTTCAATTTAAAAGGTGTTATTGAAATAAAAGATTTTAGACCGGATTTCATTATAGTTAAAGAAAGTGGTGATGTAAAAAGTTTGATGATATGTGACGCAAAATCTTCAAAAATGGTACAACGTTCTCATCAGGTAAAATTTTGACGTTCTTTAATTATAAAAAAAATTTTAATTTATTTTATCTTCATTTTAATCATTTTAGATTCAAGTAGCTCTTTATGTATACCTTCTAAGTTTAATTATTCAGGACATCCCCGAACTTAATGTTTCAGATACATATGGAATTTATTTATCATCCTTCGATTTACAAGAATTTAG